CATGGTACCGCATTGCTCAGCAGCAATTTTGGCCGTTTGCTGGCCATTGGCCAGGCCAGCAAAAAAAATAGTTGCCAGGAAGAGAAAAACAGGTGATAGCAATTTCATAAATCGTACTTAATAAGAAAAAAGTTAAAAGTTTTCATTGGCCAAAAAGGGTATATCAACTGTGCCGGGCACCCGGTTTTTTCACAAGCAGCAAAAGGAAAATGATGCAGGCTGGTCATAGCAGGGAATAAGCCTATCAGCAACGCAGCAGCTGGGGCAATAATACGTAAATTATAGTGAGCTGTGGTTGTTTTACATACGTTGCTGCTACTTTTATTGTTGGGTCTTTCAGCTGCCTTTTATAATTTTTTTCCTTTTCACCTGTATTTGCTGCCGTTTCGGGCAGCTACACCCTTTTCTGCAATGCCTGTACCAGTTAATGGCAACCTGTACCAGTTGGTTTTATCTTCAAATATACGCATTCCAGCCTCTTTCTCGGGTGGCATGCCAGGCGGCGTCATGCCATTTTCTGCAGCGCCGGGTAGCAGTGGATCACCCCCAAAGAAACCCATAGCACTACTTTTTCTGTCAGCCCCACATACCAGTGTGAATGTACATCGGGGCTTTCAATCAGCGTGTTAACCGGTAGTTGTGCCTGGCAGACCAGTGTATCTTTTACGAAGGAAAATGATATCCGGATGCCGGCAGGCTGAAAAATATGCCGCACCCCGTTCAGTTCTTCCTTACATCCCGCTGGCCGGCAGCACAAAGGGCAAAAGTGTTTCAAAAAACGGGAGTCTAACAGCACAGCATTGTTTTAATAAAATTATTGAGACAGTTTCCAGGGAAAAAAAAATATAGATGAAACAAAGAATTCCGCCGGGGAATACCGGCATTGGTACGGCTGCCAGCCATGATTGTAACCACCGCGGGCAGCTACGGGCTTTTATGCGCGGTCTTTTATGGCAGACTGCGTATTTTTGAGCCATGGGCAGGCTACCGGGATTTACTGTTTTTATGGTTGGATGGATGCTGGCGTATGCATGTAAAGGGCCTAAGCAAGTGGTGGCAAATCCGGCGGTGGTTCCACGCACAGAAGGCAGCAATACGCAGGCTGCGGTTACCGACAGTTTCCTGGAAAAGCTGTTACAGTCGCGGCCGGCTTATTTCAGCCAGGTATTGCAGCAGCGGAAAGCCATGAAGCTGCAAATCATCTATACGCAGATAGATCGCAAAGCAAACAACGAACCTGTATTTACACCGCATAGCTTTAATATTGATACGGCCGATTATTTCTACCCTGCTTCTACGGTGAAAATGCCGGTAGCCCTGCTGGCGCTGCAGGCCCTGCATGAACTTAGCCTGCCGGGGCTGGATAAAAACAGCACCCTTTTAACCGAAGCTGGCTATAGCAGACAGACACCGGTATACAATGATGCTACCAGTGTTGATGGAAGACCCACCGTGGCGCAATATGTAAAAAAGATATTCCTGGTAAGTGATAACGATGCATTTAACCGTTTGTATGAATTCATGGGGCAGCGGTACGTAAACGATAAACTCCACCGCATGGGCTATGCAGATGCGGAGATCTTGCACCGCCTGCAAATCAGTATGAGTCCCGATGAGAACCGGCATACCAATCCCATTGGGCTGTATGACAGCTCCGGCAATGTGCTGTACAAGCAACCCGGTCAATTTAACCAAACGGCCTATAGTGCGCGGCACGATTCAGCGGGCAACGCCTATTACAGTAACGGGCAGCTGGTTCCGCATGCCATGGATTTCTCTTCGAAAAACCGTATTTCGCTGCAGGACTTAACCGATGTATTGCGCAGCGTATTGTTTCCGCAATCGGTGCCACAGCAGCAGCGCTTTAATTTTACCGAAGAAGATTACCGGTTTGTAAAGCAGTATATGTCGCAGCTGCCCACAGAAAGTCTTTCGCCGCCTTATGGTGCAGATACCGCCGCCTACTGGCCTGCATATTGTAAATTTTTGTTGTATGGGTCGGAGAAAGGATCCCTGCCCGCAAACATCCGTATATTTAATAAGGTGGGCGATGCCTACGGCTTCTTAACAGATGTGGCCTATATTGTTGATTTTGATAAAAAGATTGAGTTCATGTTAAGCGCCAGGATTTATTGCAATGCGGATGGCGTGCTGAATGATGATCAGTACGATTACGAAACCGTTGGTTTCCCTTTTATGAAAGAGCTGGGTAAACTTATCTATGCGCATGAACTGACCAGGCCGCGGGCCGTGCAGCCAGACCTTTCAGCCTTTAAAATGAATTACGATAAATAAGCAGTGACTGTATGAAATATATTTTGCTGATGACAGGAATAAGCTTGTGTATGGTGGTTGCCTGCAAAAAAACAAACAGCTTTACTGCGCGGGTGTTGTTTTACAATGCCAGCTGGTCTTTGCCTGCAGTAACTGCTTCCTGGAATGATGGCGCTGTTATCAGCACTGCATTGGCCCAGGGTGCCAGTTCGGGTACCGCCGATTCTCCTTACCTGGCGCTGCCTGCGGGTACCAACCTGGTAAACATTAAAGCAGGCAGTTTGGAATTGCTGAATAAAAACATGTATACTAAGGCTGCTGCCGGCAGCAGTTTTATTGTTTTTGATACCAGTGCCGGCACCGCGCCCGCACGCATACTGCAATTGACCGATGATCTTACCCTGCCCGATAGCACGCAATTGAAGTACCGTTTACTAAAACTGGTGCCCGATGCTGCCATGCGTGCAGATATCTGGCTGGTCAATGGCGTTACCGACAGTATACGGCTGGATTCCGCAGGCGCATTTATTGGCGCCACAGCTACCGCCGATGCGGTACAGTCTTTTAATACGATTGGTTTCCGCAGCGGCAGCTACACGGTAAAGGTTAAAAAGACGGGCACCCAGGAGCTGTATGCTTCTTTGGCCAACTATCCATTTGCCGCGAAAGGGATATACAGTATTATTTTCTCGGGATTACCGGCAGGTACAGGTGCTGCTGCTATGAAGGTGGTGGTACTGCGCCACCCCCCGCAATAAATCTTCTCCGTAATAATTTTCAATTATTTACAACCGCGCCATTATGGTTTAATAATAAGGGTGGAGGGTGTTTGCGGAAGCCATATACTTTGTGTTTCCACCGCTTTCCGCCAGCTGTCCAGGCTGATAAGCATCAGGTCCTGCTCACCCAGGAAATCCTTATTGATTTTGTTTTCATTGTACAGGGCAATATGATTGGGGGCAATCTGTTCAATGGAACGGATGGCTTCCTTCATTTCCGGGTTTTGTTTAATAACACCTGTACTGTCCAGCACTACCACCCGCGCATTGTTATTGTGAATTAATTTCTGGGCATAGATCAGTAAAAAACTATCGCTGATAGAAAACACCGGGATAAATATGTTTTCAATCTTAGTACTGTCTTTATCAATAAATATACCTACCGGTACCCTGGCGTTCTTAATGATATTTTTGGTACGGTCGTCAAACAGTGAATGATCAAACAGTTTTTCCTTACCGGTGATGGTTTCGTACAGCCGTTCGGGGTTGATGATTTTAGTGGTGAAGCCCAGTATTTTTCCCAGCAGCGTGCCTTCAAATACAGAGCGGCCTATCCCAATCAGCAGCAGGTCAAAATGACCTGCATTGGCCGTCTGGCTTATTTCGCTGTCAATCTGCAGCGAAGGTTTAAACATGGTGGTCACGGGCAGGTGTAAACGCCTTGATTCGGTTTCTACCGGCGCAAAGCTTTCTCTTTCGTATTCCTCCTGGTTAAACTGGTTCAGCTCATTGCTGGGTGAGAGGTGCATCATGGTGATATGCGCATTGCTCACTGATTTTCTTACCAGTGTATTGGCCAGTTTCAGCAAAGAGACGCCTTTCTCCGGGCTGCTGAAGGAAACAAGAATATTGTATTTAACAGATTGCTCTTCACTGGCGGGGATAAGGATTTTTTTCCGGCCAGGCAAAAACCGGTTAATAAGATCCAGTGCGGGGCCGGTCATAAAGGTGGTTACCAGCGCCATGATCACCAGCATGGCAAAAATTTCCGGACTCAGTACACCCAGGTCGTACCCGATATTCAGCACCACCAGTTCCATCAAACCTCTTGTGTTCATGAGTGCACCAATCGATAAACTTTCCCGCCAGTTCTGCCCGGTAAATCTTGCTGCCAGTGTGCTGCCCAGGAACTTGCCGGTTACTGCCACTGCTATAATCAACCCGCATATTTTCCAGAGCTGCCAGTCGTTCAGTAATCCTATCTGTGTTCTTAATCCCGTAAAAACAAAAAACAAAGGCAGCAAAAGTACCAGCGCCAGGTCTTCCACTTTTTCAATAAAAATGCTCCTGAAATTGGTATTGGCAGGCATAATAACACCGGCCAGGAAGGCGCCGAACAATGCGTGGATGCCGATAACTTCTGTAGCGTACGAAGATAACAGCAGTGTAATAAAGAAAATGGCTACCACCGGTTTGCTGAATGATTCTTTATTGGAATATTTATCGCCCAGTTTTTTCAGGAAGGGCTGTACTATTTTCAGCATCAGGAAAACATAGCCAGCGGCCATAAGAATGGTGTAAAAAGCACTCAGCACCGAACCTGCTTTTACTACTGCAATCACCGCTGCCAGCAGGCACCAGGCCGTAATATCATCTGCCGCTGCGCAGGTAATGGCAATGGTGCCCAGTTTGGTTTTCGACAAGCCTCTTTCCTGTACTATTCTTGCCAGTACCGGAAAGGCAGTTACACTCATGGAAATGCCAATGAACAAAGAGAAGGAGAGGAATTTTACATTGACGGGCGCAAACTGCGCGTAAATAAAATATGCCAGCGTAACACCCAGCGCAAAGGGAAAGATGATACTGGCATGGCTTATCACCACGGCTTCACGGGCTTTGTTTCTTAATACTTTCAGGTCCAGCTCCATGCCAATGACAAACATGAAAAGGATAAGACCAATCTGGCTCAGGAACTGCAGGTTGCCCAGCGACTTCTCCGGGAAAAGAAAGGCGGAGAATTCCGGAAAATACGTGGCGGCAAACGATGGTCCCAGCAATATGCCTGCAATGATTTCTCCTATCACCGATGGCTGGCCAATTTTCTTACAGAGAAAACCGAGGATGCGGGCCACACAGATAATGGTAATGATCTGTAACAGTAATATAGACAGCGGGTGCGTAATATTGTGCAGAAAGGTTTCTTTGAACTGCTGCCAGGTGGAAGCGTCAATTTGCGGAATGAACTGCGCTACCTTGTTATTTTCAAGCAATAACCCCCGGTGCAGTATGAAGTAGATCAATCCTGAAAAGCCGGCGATGGTAGCAATGTAAAAAATGGCGTTCCTGTATTTCTGCATAGACCCCTTTGAAAGCAAACTTAGTGCTTAATCTTTTTTGGAAAGGGGAACCGCCGCATGTAATGGGTTATTATGTAACAAGAATGGCAAATAATGTAACAAAATCAGGTAGCGGTAAGCTGCAGAAAACGGTTTTTGTAAGCCTGGCTTAACACAAACTGCATAGGTTTACCATTTTTGACAATAGACGTAGTGATTTCACCCGCTGAAAAAGAACTGACTGTTTTTACTGCAATGATTTCTTTTTTATTGACCTGGCAGAATTGATTGGCGGGTAACAGCGACAGCAGCTGGGAAAAAGAGATGTTTTTTAAGAGAAGCGTTTCTCCGTTTTCCAATGCTGCCACTTTATCTCTTTTATCAAGTGCGGTGCTGGCAATAAAAAGCAGCTGGTCAAAGAATAAGAGTGAGCGCCCCCTGCTGGTCGTAAGCTGGATAAACTGCTTGCCCGGCTGTTGCGGTGTTAACTGTGCAGCAGCTTTTTCCAGTGCTTTCTGCAGCCTTTCTTTTTGTATGGGCTTGCGGATATAATCGATGGCATTGAGATCAAAAGCTTCAGCAGCGTAGTCTTTGTAAGCGGTGGTAAAAATAACCGGTTTGCCCTGCAGCAGCTTTGCTACTTCCAGCCCGTTTAGTCCCGGCATTTCTATATCCAGGATGCATAAATCAAAATCAACTCCTTTGCTTTCCTTCAGCAGCCGCAGCGGATCGTTGAAAGCCCTTACTACTTCTATGCCCGGCAGCTGTTCGCAGAGCATTTTGAGGTAGGTGAGCCCGGGCAGTTCATCATCCAGCAGCAAGCATTTTATTTTTGTGTTCAAGCAAATTGATTTTTAAAGAAGAAATGTACACATCACCCTCCGCAAACTGATCCAGTTTATAATTGTTTTTATAGATAATATCGAGCCGTTTTTGCAGGTTGGGTTTGCCAAACCCGGCTTTTTCTTTTTTTAAGGGGGAGGCATGGCTGATCTTATTGGAGACGGTTAAAGAAAACACATCATTTTTCAGTTCAAATACAATGGCAATAAAGGCGCTTTCATGCTGCAGATCGGCATGTTTAAATGCATTTTCAATAAGGTCGGTGGTAATAAGCGGCGCTACCAGCTGCTGGGTATACAGGGGATGCTGCTCATCAATCCTGGTTTTGATACTTAGATCAAAAAGGGGACTTATTTTCAGGCGGTTGATTTCTACCAGGCTGAGGGCAAATTCAATTTCCTCTTTCAGCGACACAAATTTCCGCTCGCTTTCATATAAGATAAAATCAAGCACATTGGAGAGTTTATCAAGCGCATAATAGGTTTGGTAAGCATGCGACTGAATAGAGTTCAGTGTATTTTTAAAAAGATGGGGGTTTAGTTTGTATTTGATGGTATCCAGCTCCAGGGAATGGATTTTTAATTCCAGCTCAGTGAATTTTTTTTCCATGACAGCTTTTTCTTTCCTTTCGCGGCGCAGGGTGCGCAGCACCAGCAGCAGGGCAATAAAGGATGCAATGGCCAGCAATACCATCAGAAAAATACCCGTATTGCTGTGTAGGAAATTGTACACCTGCTGAACAGTTTTAGTGAACACAAAGATAGCAAAGCCGGGTAGAGGCTGGCGCGGTTATTTCGTTTGACGGGTAGAAGACCGGTTAGCGGAAGCCGGTTGGGCAGGCAAGCGTAGCTGATTATTACTGGTAATTTTACACCAGGTGAGGTGATAAGTTTCCTCAATGATGCTTTATCCAACACTTTTATTACCCTAACTGCCCATTTATTTATTCAGGTAAAACTCATCAAATTCCATCAGATAATCTGTTACTATTTTGTCAGTCAGTACCCTTTCTGATTTGAATCGCTGCAGCAATTCAGGACTTGCAGCAAAGAGTTTTCTCAGATTTTTGGAGGAGGCCAGCTTTGCGGTGCCGTCGGGCGCAATAAACATCAGTTCGCGTGTTGGCGCAGCGGCAGCTGATGCGGCCAGTGTTGCCAGTGCAAACAACGGCGGCCCTATAGCATAAATATCTTTGTGCCAAAAGTAGAAAAAGGGGAGTCTTCCAAGGTGTTGTGCTTTGAAATATCCTTTTTTGAAAGTTGAGATGCGTTTAGTAATGAAGACATCGGTACCGTCGCAAAATCCCCATACCGCTGGCAGGCTGCTGTTGTCATTGATTTGGAATGTTGCTGCTGAAACAACGCTGTCTTCCCGGATTTTTATAAAAAGTAAGGTAATGGTGAAATCTGGTACCATTGAAGGGGCATTACTGGTATATTCTTCATAATTTTTGTAAAACCCTCTTTTCCTGTGATAGACAGTACCAGTAGTTGAAGTATCATTTTGGGCATTACAAACAGTAAGAACCAGTAATAAAAATGTTGACAAAAAATATCTTTTCATAAATGCAGGTAAGGTACTTGTATTAGTTTAATTGAATGCTAAAGTATAGTATTAGTGACAGCAGTCAAAAATTTTAGTGCCTGCTTATTTGGGCAACCGGTTGCCGGGCAAGAGACCAGCAATGGCAGAAGATGATTGGCATACGGCGTAAATCATCTCATTGATGAACTTTTTGATATCCCCGATCGGCTCCGGTAGGAGCCCCCTGTTTATAGAACAACAAGAACTGGTTCAAAAGGCTCCATAGGAGCCTCCTGTAATGCACAGGGGGCTCCTATGGAGCCGGTTCCTAATTATTTGGCATTCTATAAACAGGGGGTCCCGCTGGGACCAATAACAAGTGCTCAGTAAAAATTTCTTCCGAACAGTTATGGTGAAAATACCAACAACGGCGGAATACTACCGTAGTCTCATCAATAGACTATCTCTCAGCTTCAAAAACGGCTTTTCAATAACAATATTCACCAGCCATGCACTTGCCAGGCAGGCAATCACTCCTATCAGCAGCATGGCATTGCCGTCTTCCGCCATACCGGTTTTTGACAACTGTTGCTGTGTAAGATGAATAGTGATTTTATGCGTGAGGTAAAGTGCATAAGAAAGCGCTGCTATTTTTGCCATGAAACGTGATTGCCATTTATACACGAAACAACCGGGGCTGATGGCAGCCATTACCAGCAGGCCATAACCAAGGCTTACCAGCGGGAAGCCAAACACGGAGGCACCAAAAGAAACTTCGTTGCTGCAAACAAAATACGCAGCGGTTAGTATCAGCAGGCTCAGCAGTAGCAGCAGGTTGCCATAAGCCGTTATTCTTTCCCTCAGCAGCGGCCTGAACTGGAACAGCGCGGCGATGGCTACGCCGCAGAGCAGCCCGTCGAGGCGGCCGTACGTGGGATAGTAGATCCATTTGTACCAGGTAATCCAGTTGATTTCTTCCCCGGGTGCTGCCATTACAAACTTTTCATAAATAAACCAGCGCAGGGCCAGGCCCAGCATAAATAATGCGGCCAGCAGCCAACGGCCTTTGCGGAAGGCTCTGTAATAAAGGAGTGCCATCAATAGCAGTGGCAGCAGCAGGTAAAACTGTTCTTCAATGCAGAGCGACCATGCGTGGGAGAAAGTACCCTGGGTACGCAGATCCAGCCCCAGGTTTTGGGTAAAGCTCAGGTATTTCCAGAGTGGGGCCGGGGCTTCGCGCTCACGGGCAGCAGGAAAGCAAAAGTAAATGGCTACCACGGCCAGGTAGGCAGGTATGATCCGGAAAAAACGTTTCAGGAAGAATTTTTTGAATGACAGTGTTTGCCCGTTTGCAATGCCGGCAAACAACTGCGAGGCAATGAGGTAGCCGCTGAGTACAAAGAAGAGATCTACACCGGTCCAGCCAAATTTACTGATACCGGTTAACCATGGCGGTGAGGGGAACATGTTGCCGTAGTGAAAGATAAAAACAAAGCTGATGGCCAGGGTGCGCAGTGTATCGAGGCCGTGTAGTTTTTGCTGATGGATATTGGTAATTGTACCGGGTTGCTGGGTCATGCGGGTATGCCGTGAAGTGTTGTATGGTTTGGAAGAATGAACTTACTGAATAAATAGATGTGGTTAGATAAATGTTTTGGTAAAAATAGTATTCATTATACCTGTTTCAGTGGGGTGTATTCACCGGCCAGGGGAGGGAAATCTTATTGATCACAGTTTTGATATCCACAATCAGCTCCGGCAGGAGCTCCCTGTTTATAGAAGAACAAGAGGTGGTTCAAAAGGCTCCGTAGGAGCCTCCTGTAATGCACAGGATGCTCCTCCCTCCGTGGTGGGTGGCTTCACCGGCCATTGCGGAAGAATGGCTGGTAACGGGCGCTGCTCGAAGCACTGCCGTACAAGTGTGCGACGCAAGCATGCTGTATCTGTGTACCTGCAGCCGGGTACAAAAAAATCCTGCCTTTGAAAGGCAGGATTGAGGTATTGAAAAATAATTGTGTTCAATAATTACTTGTTGGTGATAACACCAGCAAGGGCGGCGCGGCCATGCGGTGTTTATGCCACGGCCTGGTTTACCAGTTCAGCAGCTTCGCTGAGTACGATGGCGGATTTTACTTTCAGACCGCTGTCGTCTATCAGTTTCTTGGCTTCTGTGGCATTGGTACCCTGCAGGCGCACAATGATGGGCACAGTAATATTGCCCATGCTTTTGTACGCATCAATTACACCCTGGGCTACACGGTCGCAGCGCACAATACCACCAAAAATATTGATGAGGATGGCTTTTACTTTTGGATCTTTTAAGATAATGCGGAAACCGGCTTCCACCGTTTGTGCATTGGCGGTACCACCTACATCCAGGAAGTTGGCGGGCTCACCACCGCTTAATTTAATCATGTCCATGGTGGCCATGGCAAGGCCTGCACCATTTACCATGCAACCAACGTTACCATCCAGTTTTACAAAGTTGAGGTTGTATTTGCCTGCTTCTACTTCGGTAGGGTCTTCTTCGCTGATATCGCGCAGTGCTTCCAGTTCGGGGTGGCGCATCATGGCGTTGTCATCCAGGTTCATTTTGCAATCCACTGCTATGATTTTCTCATCGCTGGTTTTAAACAGGGGGTTTATTTCCAGCATGGAGCAATCCAGACCTACATAGGCATTGTAAAGATTGGTAACAAACTTTACGCAGTTCTTCAGTGCTTCTCCGCTGAGGCCCAGGTTAAAGGCAATCTTTCTTGCCTGGAAGGGCTGCAGGGTGCCGCCGGGATGTACCCATTCTTTAAATATTTTTTCGGGGGTATCGTGTGCCACGTCTTCAATGTTCATACCGCCTTCGGTGCTGTACATAATTACGTTCTGGCCTTTGGCCCTGTCAAGCAATACAGACAGGTAAAATTCTTTTACCGGGTTGGCACCGGGATAGTAAACATCCTGTGCAATCAGCACTTTGTTTACCACTTTACCCGCTTCGCCGGTTTGTATGGTTACCAGTGTGCCGCCCAGTATGCGGGAGGCAATCTGTTTTACGTCTTCTGCATTTTTACCCACGGCCACACCGCGTTGCTCTGTACCCACAATTTTTCCTTTACCACGGCCACCCGCATGTATCTGTGCTTTTACTACGGCAAAGCTGTTGCCATAGTTCACTTTTAATTGTTTGTAAGCCTCTTCTGCAGCACCTGCATTGTCTACGGGGATGCCTTCCTGCACGGGTACATTGTATTTTTTCAGTAGTTCCTTGGCCTGGTATTCATGGAGATTCATACACTAAAAATTTTGTTACGAAGATAGGGGAAAGCGCTGTAGTTTGGAAAAGACCGCCATTTATCGAAAACGGAGCAAGTGCATTAAACTTTTGGAACCCTGCAGGGTCAATACACCGCCCGTCAACCTGGGCACCGGATTCACTATAAAATAGCCCTTTGCACCCTGTAAAACGCCCAACCATGAAAAGAACTGCCCTCGTCTTCCTGCTCTGTACGCTTGTGTTCAGCGCATTTTCACAGCAGGATACTATGGTCACGGTACCAGAGCCGATAGACAGCACCCTGCCTGCGCCAGTGAAGAACCGTTCGTATTTTTCGGCAAGCCTCGGCTTCCTCTCCAATTCAGTGTACAATGGCAGAAAAGACAGTTCAGCTACGCCTTATATTACCCCGGTGATTGGCTATTATCATAAGTCGGGACTTTTTGTGGATGCGTCTATGTCTTACCTGGCAAAATCTGGCAGCAGCCGCATTGACCTGTTTAACATAGAAGCAGGCTATGATTTCAGCCTGGGCAATTTTGACGGAACCCTTTCTGCCAACAAATCTTTTTATAACAGCAGCAGCAGCAATGTAAAATCAGAGATTACCGGCAGCGTTTTTTTTTACG